TATAAGCTGAAAACCCCAGAGCGGAAGGAGAAAAATGAGACACATCAACCAGTCACAAAGGATAGATCTTATTTGGATCCTGATTCAAACAAAAGAATATAAAAGGACTGAGACGACTGAGGAGATGTGGACTCTCACTGGACACAGTAAGGAATTCTTCAACCGCTCCACATGAGCCACTGACGTTGTAGCCATGCTTTTATAAAGAAGAGCCCTTCTGGGACTTCCCTGGTGGCTCAGTGGTTAAGAATCCGCCTGCCGATGCAGGGGTTGAGCCCTGGGCGGGAAGATCCCACATGCCGCGGAGCAACTGAGCCCGCGCGCCACAGCTACTAAAGCCTGCATGCCACAGCTACTGAGCCCACGTGCCACAACTACTGAAGCCCGCGCACCTAGAGCCCATGCTCTGCAACAAGAGAAGCCACCGCCATGAGAAGCCCGTGCACTGCAACGAAGAGTAGCCCCCGCTCGCCGCAACTAGAGAAAGCTCACGCGCAGCAACGAAGACGCAACGCAGCCAAGAATAAAAAATAAATTTATATTAAAAAAAAAAAGAGCCCTTTTTAAAGATACACACAGTTATTTACAAATAAAGTTTTATAATGTCTGAGATGTACTTCCAAATATTCTGGGGAGGGAAAGGGAGTAGGCGAGGATATCGCTGACACGAGATTGACCACGAGGTGATAAGCAAGGTTCATGACCCTCTTCTCTCCACTTCTGTGTATAATGAAATGTCTGTAAGAAGTTAACGAAAAAGCAAGGGCTTTGGCAACGGATAACTGTTCAAACCCCAGCTTTGCCTCTTGCCAGCTGTGGGTCTCACCTTCTAATGTGATGTACGCCCACCTCCGCAAGGTGCTGGTGGGTTAATGAACGCCCAAAGGCGTCCCAGGACGCCCGGAACAAAGGCGCCTTAGTGGGCCCTCGGCACACATCTGCTGCTAAGGCTGATGCTTGTAGAACAAGGCTGGGGACAGAGGAGAGCAGGCTCTGGGCGCGGGGCAGCGGGTGGCCTTGCACAGTCTCATGCTTCTGACACTGAGACTCGCCTCCAGAGGTGAGCTTGCCGCCTTGGGATCGATCAGCTCCCTGGTCCATCACATGTCAGAGACCCCAACTTCCTTTCTGCTCCCCCCTCAAAGTACCAATAACTTCTCAAGAAACAACCCAGGCCAGAGCCAATCCTAGCAAAGACTGACTGTTCCTAATGGCTTAGTAAAAGGACGTCCGGCAGAGAACTGGCCTCACCCGGGTGGCGTGACGGCTCTCGTTCAGCCCAGACTGGACCCCGTGTTGAAGGTGATCCTCAGAGAGGAGAAAGCAGCCGCCCCGAGGAAAGGACGGAGCAGACACCCGACCCCGCCGGCCACGCAGTCTCCCCCACACGGTGCGTCTGGACCCCAGCGCTCCCAATTCCCTCTGGTGCGTCTGGACCCAGCGCTCCCAATTCCCTCTGGTGCGTCTGGACCCAGCGCTCCCAATTCCCTCTGGTGCGTCTGGACCCAGCACTCCCAATTCCCTCTGGTGCGTCTGGACCCAGCGCTCCCAATTCCCTCTGGTGCGTCTGGACCCAGCGCTCCCAATTCCCTCTGGTGTGAGGGGCCACCGTCTTCACTAGGCGGCAGAGGGCCAGATGCCAGGAAGGACAGGGGTGCCTGGGGGCTCAGTTGGCCTCTCCCCTGCCTCCTTCCCGAGAGCTTCCCCACCCCAGTCCCAATGCCTGCCCGCGGCCAGACGCACCCCTGCCCTGGGCTCCTGACACCCCGCGGGGTGCCCTTGGTTCTATTCACACCGACTCCCGGTGGTTTCTGTAACTTGCCACTGGAGTCCTGACGTGTGGCATGGCGGAAGCAGTGACAGCCAGATGTCAAGACGGAGGACGTGAATGGACCGTCCTCCAAAGACCTACAAACGGCCGAGAAGCCCAGCATCGTTAGTCATCAGGGAAATGCAAATCAAAACACAATGGGGTACCACCTCACAGCCGTCAGGATGGCTCTCATCAAACACATGAACATCACCTGAGGAGGTGGAGAAGCAGGAACCCGTACACTGCTGGGGGGACTCTAACGCGCTGCAGCCGCCACGAAAAACCACCCTCAGCAGTTCAGCGTAGCGTGAACATATGACACGGTACTTCCACTCCTGGGTCTCTACCCAAGAGAAACGAAACATGGGTCCACACAAACCTGGTCCACAAGGGTTCACGGCAGAACTGTCCATAACAGCCAGAAAGTGGGAAGGACCCCGATGGCCACCAACTGACGATGGCTGTAAACAAAACGTGGCCCAACCCCACAGTGGAACAGTCTTCAGCCGTGAAGAGGAACGAAGCCCTGACAGTGCGCGGTGTGGGTGAGCCCTAGGAACTTCGCGCCGCGAAGGAAGCCAGACGTCAAGGCCATGTGTCCCTGTGTGATTCCATCTATGTGATCTGTCCAGAACAGGCCAGTCCAGAGACAGAAAGTACATCAGCAGTTGCCTGGCGCTGGGGGACCTGGGGGGGCGGGGCGGTGACAGCTAAGGGCTGCAGGGTTTCTTTTTCGGGTGATGAAAATGTCTCAAATGACTGCGGTGATGTGAATACATGAAAATTATCGAACAAAAGGGTGAATTTTGCGGAATGTGAATTAAATTTCAATTAAAAAATGCTTGCATCCAGGACTCACACCCTCCCCCACCTCACACTCCAGCCCTCAGCGCTTCCATCCAGCTTCTTGGCAGCGAAACAAGTGAAGCGAACACGCCCGGCGGGAGCAGAGGCAGCGCCCTACACACACCTGCTACACGACCCCCGGCTCTCGGGGCTTCCTGAAGAGCTGTGAGGCCTCTTCCCGCGGGAGAGGGGCTGTAGCAGGAGCGGGACCACGGGGGGAAGGACGCCTACACTGGTCAGAAGACACAAGCACTGTGATGAGAGGGGCCCAGCCGGGTAGCCCTCCCTCCCCCGGCCCCACCGGGCACACCGCAGCCTGGCACCTGGGCACCGACGTGGTGGCCTCCTCGCCGAAACGCCTACAAACGATGGACCCAGCCCCGTTTTCAACATGCAGGAAGATGGCTGACACTACCAGCTCTTCCTACAGCGAACTTAAAGATAATAGCTAACCTGCAGCCCAAAGAAGTTAAATTAGTTGCGTGTGATTCGTAAAGTGGTGAAACCTAGATGCCACATCGCTCAGCTTTCAGTCCATACTTCAGAGAAACAAAGTATTTAAACTAGAAGGGGGGACTTCCCTGGCGGTCCAGTGGCTAAGGCTCCGTGCTCCCAGTGCGGGGGGCGTGGGTTTGACCCCTGGTCCAGGAGCTGGATCCCATATGCCACAACTAAAGATCCCGCATGTCGCAACTAAAAAGATCCCGTAGGCCGCAACGAAGATCCCGCAAGCAGCAATAAAGATCCCACGCGCAGCGACTAAGACCCAGCACAGCCAAGTAAATAAATAAACATTAAAAAATAAAATAGGATTTCAGGCATTATTCAGTACACTTTCTTCATCTGAATAAACAGCTCAGTGTAATGTTTTCCATGAATATACCATGACATCACCTCTCTCTGGGCGCTGGGTTCTCTCCAGCGAAGCCACAAACAACGCCACCAGCCTGTATCCAGGAACTCGTGAACCCCGAGGCTGCGGGAGCATGAGGCCCTCCGCCCGGTGCCGCTGGTGCCTCCCCAGCCCAGACCCGGCCGAAAACCCCAGCGAGAGGGCAGGTACTCACGGGGTCGGTGAGCATGGTCCTCAAGTGAGAGGACAGGGCAAGCACCGCCAGGCAGTTAAAAATGACTCCATTGACCACGGAGTACCAGAAGTCTTTGGAAGGCAGCAGCATGACAAACGTCACCACGAAGTCCGCGTACACGACCAGTAGCCACGTCACGACAGCACAGATCATGCCACAGCCATCGCGGATGAACCAGACCCTGTCTGCCACGTCGGCCTCGGATGAAGAGGAGGAGGAAGAGTCGTAGTTGTCATTTTCGGTCAGGAGAGGATGGTGTTCGACATCCCGGAGCCGGTGTCCTGATGACGGCATGGTTTCCCTGGAGGGGCATGGGACACAACTGGTGAGGCTCCCGGGGACACACGGTCACCTGCGGCTGGCCCCAGCCACACTGCACAAGGACGACGCGGGGCAGGAGCTAGACACCCTTGGCACCCAGGCTCCAAGCCTGGGCAAGACGAGGCCTGGGGTACCACGGCCCCATCCACGGTGCCAAGGCCCGAGGGCCCGCAGCGCACACGTGCCAGCAGCTGACGAGAGGCTGACAGACAAGGGGCTCTTTCACTGCTCGTTTCCACACCGGCCCACGACCACAGAGCCCAGTTCTCGCCTGACTCTTCCCTGTTTCACTGAGTTCTTCACTCTCACTTCTCCCTCGTTTGAACTGTGACAACGTGCGACCATGTTTTTGAGGCAGTCTTCTTTAACTCTGTGCTGTTTCTAGAACGCCCTTCCTCTTTCAGTCTTTTAACAGTTTCCTTCACTTATCTGTTCTTTCGACAACTCTCCCATATTTCCTAATACCCGAGAACACACAGGGTCAGAAACTAAAGGAAAACTTACACTTTTCCTAGCAAACATTTTGCTGCTGCTTTAAACCTATAACCTCCTGTCATCAGTGTCTGATATGAGTAGAAATACTCATGATAAATAAAGAAAGGGAAACAGAGTCAGTTCATGTGGCCCTGTTGTTCGTGCAGGGGATAGAAAAACACTGATAGCACTTTATCAAACGACCCAAGGGCTTTCTCCACTCAGGCTCGGCTTCTTTCAAACAAGCACAGAGCAAGCGACTGTGGCCTCCCCAGCGTGGCGGGGGAGGAGGGATGAGAATGCTCTTGGGGCCGGGTCTGCTACAGCTGACGCACAGCATCCGCTCGGAATCCTGGCATTACTTCCTTCCTTAACTGTAACTGGAGCACGGGAACGATGAAAACATTACTGAATGAGTGAATCTGCTGGTGAGAGTTCCTTCTGCAAATATTTTGCAGGTTTCCCTCTCGATACAAAGATACTGACTAGTACAAGACAGCAAGGAAACTGTTCCCCGCAGCCTGCTCTTAGATCAGACAACAAGAGCTTTAAAATTACTGAAGTGAAGAAACTGAAGATAAGAATTTGGGCAGCCCCGAACCAGCCGTTCTTCAGCCAGCACACACTGGACCCGACGGCTGCCTTCCTGCTAAGGCCTCTGCCGCAGAGGCCACCCGCCCTGCAGCGCCCGAGGCTTCTCTCTGCCAAGCAAGTCATCCTGCAGAGGCAGTCCTCGTGCCTCTGAAGAGCACTCTGCAAAGGGACTCTGAACAGCAGACACGGCTATCTGGAGAGGGTGCTGGAGCGCGGTCCTGTCTACACCACTGTAAAGCCTGATGCCGCCAGGGGGCTGAGACTCTCTGGGAGGAGGACCGGCTCGGCAGCCCCACGGGCAGTGTGCTCAGCACTCCCTACCCTGAGAGGGCGTCCGTGTCTCAGCCCTGGGCTGGCTGTCAGCCCTCGTGGGAAAGGCCTGGCTCTTCTCTCCGGGCTCCCCATCGGGTGCCCGCACGCCCCTGGGCTCACGGCAAGCGCACATCTGTTTCCAGGCAGACGCAGCAACGTGAATTGGTCCCCGTCTCAGATCCAGAGAGAGGCCTAGTGATGGCCACGGAAGTTTTTTAGTGAATCATAAATGTTCATCAAAGCCTTAGCTGAAAAACTCCCCTGACCAGAATCCCTCTGCTCTATGGCTACTCCTCAGGTAAGACGCTTTCTAGGAGCAATGGGTGCCCGCCTGCTGGGCAGCGAGCAGTCGCAGGGGCCACGTGTCCAGAGACAGGCCAGCTTTTTGTCAGAGCACACTCGTGCAGCCCGAGTTCTGCCTAGAAATCAGGACCTGAGTCTTCTGGACGCCTGACCCAGTCCCGATTAACCTTCCCGGCTGAGGCACTGGTGACAGCAGCCGCAGGCCTCCCCCAGAGGGGCAGATGGCAGCTGTATTTGTGAGGAAGGGTGACTGCACACATACCAACCCCAGTGGGCGGGAAGGGACATTCCCAGAAGCACTTTAGGATACTGAGGCATCACGCCTGTGTGCTTCAGAGCTGAATTTGTAAAATCCACTAGAAGGCAAAGGGAGAACAATCTGGTGCCCAAAAGTCACTTCATTTGCAAGAAAGCAATCGGTGAACACGGCGAGGTTAGGCTGAACACATCCGGTTATCTGTCATCAAGAGCAGGCGCCTTCCGCTGAGTCACAGCACTTACACTTCATTAATGCAACAGGAAGGGAGGGGAGGAAATGAAGAAACAATTCCTTTACACTCAACTAATCTAAAAATGCTGGGAACACGAGCAAATGGCACGGCAACTGGCGATGCGAAGCCAGGGCGAGGGCACAGCCTCACTCTGTGCTGATACCCGTCACTGGTGACTGAATACTCTGCGTGATCACGTCTGAAAAAGACCTGAAAGCACTGTGCACTGACCGACGGTTTTTCTACTTTAATGTCCAGTTTAATGGGATGCTGTCTACACTCCGAACCTGAGCTGTTGATCGTCGTGTTAAATCAGGCCCCGTTTCCCAGAACGCTAAGAGCAACACTGCAGACGCCCATTATTGAAGGGACAACCACTCGAGCAAAACCCTTCCAGTGGTTTACATTTGAGAACTCCCCTCATCTTGTAGTACCTGCCAATACCTGATCAATTCCCTTCATGGAATCTTCCTCCAGGGACACACTCTCCTTTTAGCGTAGGTGGTAAGCAAACCCAAAGAATACGTGAAGAAAAAGATCTGCTTGTCACCATTAACCATCTGAACTGCCCGTATTTGCCTTTTCAAAGGTGTGCAAGTTAGTGTCAGCCGTTAGAGAGGAAACAGTGATTAGAGACCTAAGTAAGCAATCACTTACCTCACAAATTATTTTTAGACATCACTTGAACGTTTTGTGTCTTTTCTTCAGGATCTTAAGGTGCATACTGTCCTATGTGGTAGGATCTGAAAGATAATAAAATCTGATTAGAAAAGTTACTTATTTTATGACCAAGGCGCATATACTATTTCTCAGTGCATATGATCAACTTTGGGAGCACATGTAACCGATGTGACGCTTCCCACCTGAAGTTCCGTTGCTCAGAACCATCTTTAACTATGAAATCATGACTCCTCTAGGTTTTCGTTACTAGTAAACTGCTTGACAATCCTGAAAATTAAGTAATTTATTTTAAACCTGTCCATTTTACACTCTTGTTACTTTAGCCCTGGTCTTAAATACAAATCTCTAAGCCAAAATCCCTGAGAAAGAGCCCCAGGGATAATCCAGACCAAATCTGGTCAACCTGCATTTCAACAGGCAGCAAGTGTTCACCGTTCACCAGCCACAGCAGAGGAATTACAGAAAAGATGAGAGAGAAAGAGGTGAGAGGTGCACCAGGCCCCGCTGGGGGAGGGTGCCCCGGGGGAGGGGGCACAGTGCACGAAGGAGCGGGTGGAATGAGTGAGGGGCATCCCAGCCTGGCAGCGTCTCCCACTGGGTGGGCAAGCAGACGTAGCCTCCCTAGAAGCACTCATCTGGCCCAAGAAAAGAGGCTGGAAGACACCAAGAGGCGGCGTGTCCCCCTCCCAAAGAGGTCAGATTGCTGCCAGGTTTCCCTAAGACCAGGGCCACCAGAGGACAAAGGACCATGGACGCAGACGCTCCAAGCACACGCTCCTGGTACATCTCATCCTTAAATGTGAACCAAGAGCCAACAGATGTTCTGGAGAAAAGCTCAAACAGGTCTTATGGAAGAGCCCCAGAGAGAAAAGAGAGAAACCGGAATTTAGAGCAGGCATAATGCACAGAGAAGAAAACTTACGAAGAATTAAGAGGCTGCATTTGTGAGACAAAGGGGAACATTCTGAGAACTTCCTAGTTATTGAAAAATAAAAATATGATGGTAGAATTTTTTAATCTTACAAACAGGACTGGAAGAGAGAATGGGGAAATTTCCCAGAAAGGAGAACTAAACAACAAAGGGGAAGGGGGGAAGGATAAACTTGGAGTTTGGGATTAACATATACACACTATACAGAAAATAGATTAACCAACAAGGACCTCCTGTATAGCACAGGGAACTGTATTCGGTACCTTATGATAACCTATACTGGGAAAGAATCTGGAAAAGATTAGATATACATATATATAAAACTGAATCAGTCTGCTGTACACCTAAAACTAACACAACATTGTAAATCAGCTACAGTAAATCAGCAAAAAACAAACAAAAACAAGACAAAGACCTTAGGAGAGAAAATGAAATGAAATCAGAGGACCAATCCAGGAGGTCCATCTTCCAAACAACAGGTCTGGCAAAGGCACCCCGAACAAGACGTCCTTCCTCTGCACAGCTCCACTGCCACCCAGGCTGGCGGCCCCGTGTGCCTCGCAGCCTGTCCACTCTCTTTGCATCTGATATCCTTCCAACGTAACATTTTTCTCTCAGCAAACCCTCAGTTGGTGTCTGTTTTCTGAAACCAAGACCCCTGACTAGGACACCAGGGGGCTGGCGTGGAAGAGGGTGAGGGGACTCGGGGGTCGAGGGGTGGGCAGGGTAAGCTCCCCTGGTCTCCTCCCAGTAACTGGAGGCTGCTCGCTGCTTCCTGACCGGGAGTGCCCCCTCCGCCGGGCCCGGCTCTGCTGTCAGGCTCCCCTGCCCACCCGACCCTACAAGTCTCCTCAGGACCCGTCCTCCCTCCACAAGGACGTGGACAGCCTCCCCGCACCCGTCACCGCCACCCTGCACACCAAAGGTTCCCTAGCCTATCTGTGGCTCTGAGTCCCCTCTGAACTTCTCAGTAACAAATGTGGCCGTGAACCACAAGCTGCTTAAACTAACGGAGGTGACTTGTAAAATATGGCATTTATATATATATATATATATATATATATATATGGTAACTCTATTCAAATATCTATGCAGTAGCCAACAGCTTTAAACGCCAGGTAACGTGCTGAACCAGTAATGCCTGATTATGCCTAGTGATACTTTCAACTTTGCATTCACATTCATTTTGAGTATCTTCAAATGAGCTTATGTTAGCACTGTTTTAAAAGAAAACCAGCATTGCAAAACCCAGGACTGCCCATCGCAGTCCTCAGGTCTACAGCAGAATCTCTACAATGAGACCAAACCCCGTTACTTTTATAAATTTTTAAAAATAACCAAAATGGCAACCACGTCGGAAAGCGGCCTGGTACTTTCTCAGAGTTAAACCAACACCCTCCCTGTGCCTCGGCAATTCCACTTCTAGGTATTTACCTCAAGGTGAATATGAACACAAAACGTGTACAGAACTGTTCACAGCTGCTGCATTCATTAAGTCACCAAAGCAGAACAACCCAAACACCCCTCACCAGGAGATGAATCAACAAACCACAGTATATTCATACAAGGGGGACTGCGGACGGATACAGGCCACCGTGTGGATACATCTCAAAAAATCACGCCAAGTGAAAAACACAGTATGTACAGTAGGAGTCCATCTGCATGGCACTCTGAACCAGGCGAAGCTAATTTATTTTGAAAGAAATCAGAACGGGGTTGGAGCACAAGAGGGAATGACGGAGAGTCCAAGGTAACTTTCTGAGTTGACGGAAAGGGCAGCAGGCGACACAGGCACACGCACTGTCAAACCAAATTCAATGAACTGTTAAAATTATACACTTAAAATTGTGCATTTCACTGTACGTTAACTATGCCTCAGTTAAAAAATGAACAGGAGAAAGAATAACCAGCACAGGTACACGTGCAGGTGTAAAAGGGTGTGGTAACAGCCAGGTTCTAAGTGCTGCTGAACCCGTTCTCGCCCTACAGATGCTGCCTTCCGAGCCAGACCCTGTCACAGTTTACTTTTAACAGTATCTTCGGGCAAGTGTCTTAAACTCTTCCCCTCACTTTTTTCCCCGTGTCTATAAACAGAAGATGCATTTCTCATAAACAAACTGAAGACAAGTAAACAAAAGACGTCAATATACTTTGGTGATCAGTTGCTACAAAAAAGAATGAAGATCCAATGATTTTCACTGTTGCAATAAAAGGAAATGTCCACCCTAGAGTCTGGTATTCACGTGCATGTTAAACACTGCTTAAACTCATCACTGTTTTACTATTCATACGCCCACTGCTGACCTATAAGAAACAGGAATAAGCACATCTCTGCTTCAGGCACAGAAGCAGCGTGTGAGGCAAACACAGGCCGTGAGATGTGCTGAATTCAAACGTGGGGGCGGGGCCTCTAAGCTGCAGACTCCATGTGAGGCCCAAGGATGCTCAACCTCGGACAGGCCCTCAGCCCACGAGGGCTCATGGGAGAGAGAGGCGGGGACCAGCCTGGTAAACAACGTGCTCGGTGTTATCCCCAGTGGCAGGCAGAGGGCGATGACGGAGAGAGATGACAATCGCTTATCCTGTCCAGAGGAACCAGAAAAGTGTCGGTTAGGACGACAGCAGGAGTGGGCCCACAGGACAGGCAAGATCGCACAGGAGAGGACAGTGCGGGAGGCACAGAGGCTGGAAGGGGAATCCGCCGGCTGCAGGGCCCTGGGCTCAGCGCGAGGGAGGGCGGGAAGGCAGGGAAGGGGAGGCCAGGGCCCTGAAATTCTGTACGTCATTCTGCTGCAAAGGGAGACTGGAACTTCGGTCAACAGACAAATGTTTTAGAAAGATAACTGGTGACAAACTAAGATTAGGATGGAAGGAGGAAGACGGGCAGCCGGGAGGCGGCTGCCATGCCCCCGAGCAGAGCTGACAGACGCAGGGCCAGCAGGGGAGCGGGGCCTGCAGGGGACGAGCAGGGACTGGGAGCAGGAAGGCTGGCTGGAGCAGACAGCACACCAAGGGGCCGCGACCTTCTCCCAGCAGTGCCGGTAAAGAGCCAAGAAGCTTGCAGACTGGGTGGTGAGCAAACTAAAGAAGCACATTTGTTTAAATGTGGTTAAGTCAAGGACATACGTAGCTGGAAGGAAAAAACAATTTTTCAATTCCCCCTCTTACGTATTATCTCATTTAAAGCTACAATGGGGCTTCCCTGGTGGCGCAGTGGTTGGGAATCTGCCTGCCAGTGCAGGAGACACGGGTTCGAGCCCCGGTCCGGGAAGATCCCACATGCCGCGGAGCAACTACGCCCGTGCGCCACAACTACTGAGCCTGCGCTCTAGAGCCCACGCTCCGCAACGAGAAGCCACGACGGTGAGAAGCCCGCGCACCACAACAAAGAGCAGCCCCCGCTCTCTGCCACTAGAGAAAGCCTGTGTGCAGCAACGAAGACCCAGTGCAGCCAAAAATAAATTAATTAAAAAAAATAATAGAGCTACGATGAACCTCTCAACAAGACAGAATTCTATTTGTTGTGTAAGCTGACTTCACCCTCACTGGCTCCCAATAAATAGAATTAACGTGGCTTCTGTAACGAATTTTAATTTGTGTAACAAATGATTGCTTTGTCCAAGTATTTAATTGATGTGATACCTTGTTTTCATTTTATATAAAACCCTTTATACTGTTCCAATAAATATCTTTATTAGTAAAAATAATAATAATAAATAAAACAAGAGGACGGGACCAAGATGGCGGAGGAGTAGGACGAGGCGCTCACCTCCTCCCACAGGAACGTGGAAAGCACATCTGCAGGTGGACGGCTCCCACAGAACAGCTCCTGAGCGCAGGCACAAGACCTCAGACTTCCCGAAGGGCAAGAAAACCTCCAGCTAACCTGGTAGAACAAAAGGAAAAAGAAAAAGAAAGGAATGTAGACGGGGCCTGCGCCCCAGGCAGGGAGCTGTGGAGATCAGCCTGGACAGGCGGCGAGCGTCGGAGCCTAGCAGGAGAGCACAGGAACCCGTCTGCGGAGGGCAGCACAGAGAGCAGCCTGAACGGAAGGTCGGCGCCGCCACCCTGCGCTCCCCAGCCTCAGACGCTCATCCGTCAGTGCTGAAGCTCAGGCTTCGGAGGTCAGACCCAGGGAGAGGCCCGGGGCGGGATGCACGGAGACAGCTGAAGAGGCTGGACTGTGGCAACTGAGGGTGTGCTCGGAAGAAGCCGGGGCCTGTCAGAGAGCCAAGGCGCCGTACTGAGGGGTGCACGAGGAGAGGGGAGGGACCACCGTAAGAGCTTCTTTCCTTACGAGCGCTCCCAGGCAACAGGACACTGCCTACAGGAGCTCTGGGGGCGGGCGCGAGTCGCTGCCGCCATCGTGGGCTCCAGAGGCAGGCACAGGCCACCGCTACGAGACCTGCGAGCAGTCGCCAAGTGCTGCCCCCGCCCTCCCAGCAGCGCACAAGGGCGGCTGCACCTGCACACCCCGTATCAAGGGAATAAAAGCCAGCAGGTGCTGAGGAAACAGACAGCAAGCGTCCAAACTAACAGCAGCCCCTCGATTCTGGAAAAGATGGCGGAGTAGAAGGATCGAGCTCACCTCCTCTCACGAAAACAGCAACATCACAACGAACTGCTGAACAATCATCGACAAAAAAGACTGAAACCTACCAAAAAAGATATTTTACATTCAAAGACAAAAGAGGAGTCACAATGAGACGGTAGGCGAGGTGCTTTCGTGCCAAGATAATGAACAAAATGGCAATAAGAACATACATATAATTACCTAAAATTTAATGGGATTCGTAATGGATACAAAAACAAGACCCGTATATATGCTGTCTACAAAAGACCCACTTCAGACTCAGAGTCATGTGCAGACTGCAAGTGAGGCGATGGAAAAACGTATTCCATGCAAATGGAAATCAAAAGAAAGCTGGAGTAGCAATACTCTTAGCAGACAAAACAGACTTTAAAATAAAGACTGTTACAAGAGACAAAGAAGGACACTACATAATGAACAAGGGATCAATCCAAGAAGATATAACAATTGTAAATATATATGCACCCAACACAGGAGCATCTCGATATATAAGGCAAATGCTAACAGCCATAAAAGGAGAAATCGAGAGTAACACAATAATAGTGGGGAAATTTAACACCCCACTTACATCAATGGATAGATAATTCAGATAGAAAATCAATAAGGAAACACAGGCCTTAAATGACCATGAAACCAGATAGACTTAATTGATATTTATAGAACATTCCATACAAAAGAAGCAAAATACACTTTCTTCTCAAGTGCACATGAAACATTCTCCAGGACAGATCATACCTTGGGCCACAAATCAAGCCTCAGTAAATTTAAGAAAACTGAAATCATATCAAGCATCTTTCCGACCACAGTGCTATGAGATGAGAAATCAATTCGGGGGACCTCCCTGGTGGCACAGTGGTTAAGACTCTGTGCTCCCAAAGCAGGAGACCCAGGTTCGATCCCTAGTCCAGGAACTAGATCCCACATGCATGCTGCAACTAAGAGTCCGCATGCCACAGCTAAGGACCTGATGCAATCTAATAAATAATCAAATATTTAAAAATAAATAAATAAATATTTATTTGTTTATTTTTGGCCGTGTCCGGTCTTCGTTGCTGCACTTGGACTTTCTCTAGTTGCGGCGAGCGGGGGCTACTCTTCATTGCAGTGCACGGGCTTCTCACTGCAGTGGCTTCTCTTTGTTGTGGAGCATGGGCTCTAGGTGCGTGGGCTTCAGTAGTTGTGGCACGTGGGCCCAGTAGTTGTGGCTTATGGGCTCTAGAGTGCAGGCTCAGTAGTTGTGGTGCACAGGCTTATCTGCTCCACGGCATGTGGGATCTTCCCGGACCAGGGCTTGAACCTGTGTCCCCTGCATTGGCAGGCAGATTCTTAACCACTGCGCCACCAGGGAAGTCCCAATAAAAAGAAAGAAAGGAAGAAAGAAAGAAAGAGAGGAAGGAAGGAAGGAAGGAAGAAAGAGAGAGAGAAACAGAGAGAGAAAGAAAGAGAGAAAGAAAGAAAGAAAAAGAAAGAGAAAGGAAGGGAGGGAGGGAGGAAGGAAGGAAGGAAGGGAGGTAGGTCAGTTCGGGGGGAAAAAAAACCACAAATACACGAAGGCTAAACAATATGTTACTAAACAACCAACGGATCACTGACGATATCAGAGAGAAATTCAAAAAATACCTAGAGATAAATGACAACAAAAACAAGATGATCCAGAACCTGTGGGACACAGCAAAAGCAGTTCTAAGAGGGAAGGTGAGAGCAATACAGTTTTACCTCAGGAAACAAGAAAAATCTCAAACAACTTAAACTTACACCTAAAGCAACTAGAGAGAAAGAACAAACAAAACCCAGTTAGTAGAAGGAAAGAAATCATAGGGGCTTCCCTGGTGGTGCAGTGGTTAAGAATCCGCCTGCCAATGCAGGGAACATGGGTTCGAGCCCTGCTCCAGGAAGATCCCACATGCTGCAGAGCGACTAAGCCTGTGCGCAATGAAAGCAATGAAGACCCAACGTAGCCAAAAATAAAAATAAATAAAAGAAAATAAGTAAATTTAAAAAAAAAAGAAAAGCTATGATGAACCTAAAGAAGGACTTGGTCTCCCTATTTTACAGATGAGCCACCCCGGACCCCCAGTTAGTCTGGGACCTCCACACAAGTCCCACCACGCTGCTTCTCGGTTTGAACAGGCCACACTTTTAAAAAGCCTAGGACAGCCCCAAAGAGATGTAACGGAGAGAGACTGAGGACGATATGCCTAGTTAAGCCAACTAAACAATCAGATTAAGAAACTATAAACCAAGAGGTCCTGGCATGGTTGCTTTTTTCTTTCTCATTTTATGGTTATTTGAGCTTTTCCTGCAACTACAAAAGCAACATAGGCTCATTTTTTCTGTTTTTAAAGAATAAGGGTCCCAGTCTGCAGACACAGGGGCTGACAGAGCAGAGGGACCCTTCTCCCCTAGGCGGGGGAGGGTGGGGGAGAGGGTACAGAGAAGATGGACGACGCGGAGCTAAAGCAGATCCCACCCCACACGCTGTTGTGAGCGGCAGGAGGTGGGCTGTGGGCGCTGGAAGTGGAGAAAAGCTGAGGACGGCGACTGAGACTGGCAAAAGGCAGGCGGGTAGGGGAGGTGGCAAGAGAGAGCTGAAACTCAGCACCGTGGCCCAGACAGCGCTGGAACCCCGGTTCCCAATAAACGCCACAACAGCCAGGCCTTTCATCCAAAAGTGCAGCCTGGACCCAAAGCCCTACAGGGGGTTGGGGGTTCGCCATGGAGGGCAGGACGAAGGGGAGCAGCCTGCGAAGCCAGGTGACAGGAAACTGCAAGGGACTGGAGGTCCTGAGGCCTGGAGGATGTGCAAGGGAGTCAGGTTGGCAGAGGGAGGTGTGTGTGTGTGTGTGTGTGTGTGTGTGATTTATCCTCTTCAATGGTACATTTTCCATCATTTAGTCTAAATTTCATTCTTTCAATTTCTTGATATTCTCTCAACTTAGTATGATGTAAGATACATAAGTATGACCAAAAAATAAGCCTGCAAGGTGGAATTTTAAGAACTCAGAGGAGAAAAAAAAAATGTTTCTTTTAATTAAAAAAAAAAAAAAAGTTTCTTGGGCTTCCCTGGTGGCGCAGTGGTTGAGAGTCTGCCTGCCGATGCAGGGGACACGGGTTCGTGCCCCGGTCTGGGAAGATCCCACATGCCGCGGAGCGGCTGGGCCCGTGAGCCATGGCCGCTAAGCCTGCGTGTCCGGAGCCTGTGCTCCGCAACGGGAGAGGCCACAGCAGTGAGAGGCCCGCGTACCGCAAAAAACCAAAAAAGAATGGAGCATTCAGAGAGCCTACCCCAGTGCCTTGGCTCCAGTGCATTCAGTGCCACTGCAATTATGTTCTTGTAAATGTTCTTTCCATCACTCTGCAGTCATGAAAGATTTAGTTTGTGCTTTCAAACCAGACCAGTAATGTATGCCATACGAACCAGTATCTTCTTCTCAAATTACTGAATCTGAAGAACAGAATATTAACCTTTAAGGGAAAAAACCAATGGAATATTAAGTGAACAAAAGCCAGGTCTCAATAATGTGCTGGCACACTGTCCACACCGTGAACAGTAAACTTATGTAACCTTTCCAGAAAGGTCTTTCAAACTAAAACAAAACAGGGCAAACTGAGAAACACACAAGGAGCCAAGGCTCTGGGA